GTGAATGAATTAGCTGTATAAAGCGCTTTGAGTGCTCGGACAGAGTAGAAAAGCGCTATATAAGAACCAGTCCATTTATCGTTTACATAGTACACCCCCGGCAGGCCTGTTCCTGTATTTGTTCAATCACATCAAATAGGAGATATGTCCACCATAGTACTCTAAAGCCTTTGAGTTTAGTTGCACAGTGCTTATAATACATGATTGCTTGATCTCAAACAAATAGTTTAAATACTGCAAGTTGAGTCATCCACAGTGGCTGGCCAACAAACACAACTCTGAAGACTCTTCTGAAATGTTTTCTCAGTATTCATTGTGTGTGTGTATGCACACTTCAGGCCAGCACTTGTCTCTGGCTGCACGTCAACAGGTGTGGCAAGAAGTATGATGCTGTGCCATCATCAGGGATGAGCTCCAGGAATTCTGCGGGGCTCATCTCCATAGCAACTACGACAAGCGTCTCTGTTGACAAAAAACAAGTCTCATTAAACTCAAGTACACACACACACACACACACACACAGAAGATGTTACTTCCTCATACTTCTAGTTTCTTTGCCAATATCAGTAAGTAATTTCCTGATATTTCTTTAATTCCCATCATAATATATCCACTTACAGAAGTGGCTTGGGGAGTGCTCACACCAGTCTACCCAAGCCTGCTGCACCCTCAGAGTTCACTTTGTTTAATCATATTGTAATGAATTGCTATTCATTCCCCAGCACAGATCTCCAACACTTTCCCAATGACAGACGCCTCTATAAAAATTACTGCAAGAAATTAACAAATATGTGAGAGGACACGTATCACCACTTCCCCAAATAAGACACATAATGCATAAAAACATCAATTTCCCTGTGCTTTTCAAAAGAACCCAAGTGAGGAGAGTAAGTGATGGGTACTCTGACCAGGATAGTTTAGATGAGTGTGAATGCTCGCCAGTGGTGGATTAGAGAAGAGAATCATGCACGGCAACAGTACCCAGTGTGAGCACACCTTTAGTCAAGTTTAATGGAGGCTTGGAACTTGTTGGTCAGTAAAGCTACATTTAATGTGCAGACAGGATTTAAGAAGCTGAATGACTGAATGCCTTTCCCTAGAAATGGGACAGAAGAGCAATTTAGTTGCTGAAGTTACAATTTACTGATGTTCCCTGAACACATTTCATGCAGGCAGTCAATTCTGCTTTTGAAAAGATTGACTGTGTCTGTTCAAAACATGACTACACAGAACAGACAGACTGTGGGTTTGGGCTTCAACCAAGATGAATGACTGAAAAAGTCGCTTGGCACACAAAAACAAAGACCAAACAGTAAAATAAAATTACATCCAGCTATTTTTTTTAAGACCCAGTTTAAGTTTTAGACCATTAAACTGATTAAACTGTTGAAACTGTTTGAAGATCTGGACTAAGATGACTTCATTGCTTGTCATTTTAAAATTGTATTCTACAGTTTAAATGATTCAAATCTTTTCCCTGAGCACGTAATCCATTATTAATTATAGGTTTCTGAATAGCTGAGGATGTGACTTAAAGTAGGGATTTAATGTGAATTCATTTCATGTCAAAAATGTTGTCAAACCTGCCAGACGGCTTTGCCACATAATAAAATTATAAGTCTGAACAATACAAGGTCATTAGTGAGTCATGACTGACGAAAGCACAGCAAATCCTAATTGTTTTAAACGAAAGTGAAAGTTCTTTGGAAAAATACCTCTACCTTTGAGAGCAGCCAGGAGGATGCTGTTGTCTGAGGCCACTCTTGTGCGATCACAAAGCTCTGGGAGGAGCTTTTGCCACCAAAGTGCCTGCGGAGATTAGACATGTGATTGAGACGGGAGTTGAATTAGGTGCGAAATTAAAAATAAACTAAAAAGTGTAGCTACAGACTTCAAATGTAAGCCCCGTGATCAGTACAGACCATGTTTTTCTCCTGTAACTGGTGATTGGCGTAGGGTATGATCGCTTGAGGACATCTGTCCAGCAACTTCTCAATGCTCCTATCATACTGCCCCCTTCTGGTAGCGCAAAGGAGGTGAAGGCTGAAGCCCCATAAGGTTTCGTCTGACAGGCGCTCCAACAAAGGCACGACGGAGCCCACAGACAGAGATGGACCACACAGCAGAGACTGCACACACAAACAGGAACACTTAAAATTACAATTACAGAATAACAGCAGCTAGATTTTAAATTGAAGTCCACGAGAAGAAAAAGAAACATAAAGAAACATAAATAAACTGCTATATGTCACCAAGTCCACTACTGATAGCACAGATAAAATGTTTTCTCTTCAAATGTCACTGACCTACATATTTATTGCAACAAGTTCACAAGCCATGGAATGCATGATGGCCCCGTATTACTATAAGTTCCAGTAATGACGGTGAATAGGGCCTCACCCTACGTGGAATGCAGCCATCAATTGTACACCTGTGCTTTGCCAGCTGAGACAAGTCAAACGTTTGCCACAAACAAAATGTATTTGTCACTGTGGCGGCGCGTTGTCTGCGGTGCCTCTGCAGGGGAGATGGAAGCGGTTCCTGACTGTCGTTGTTGTAGTCTGTATGTAATTGGCTGGTGGCTGAAAAGCTGCAGCTGTGTGTGTTTCAGAACAGCAACCGTGTGTGTTAGTAAGAAAGATGCTGAAAAGCATTAAACTGTCACACACTGAAAGTCACCGGGGGCTGAAAACCTCAGTTACTTCAATGGCCAGTTGAAGATGGCTCCAAAAAACAGCTCCCAAATTTATAGCAGAAGGAAACATTTACAGCAACAAACAAAATAGATTTCCCTCTTCATAATGAATGCACTGGGGATATTTGTTTTGTTTTATAAAAAGGCATAAACCACAACTATCAGCACTTTCTCAACAGGAGTTTCATTTACTGCTGTAGGAGTACTGAGGGTTTTATTGTAAAAGCATTTAAGGGTTTTATTGTGAACAGAAAAGAAAGGGGTCTGTTCACAACCGAGTAGAAGAAATTGTGTTTCCTGCACAGGTTGGGCAGCAATTCAGTGATGTCTCAGTGGCTGTATTAGTCTGTTATACAGTAAGGTCCAACTATATTTGGACAATGACAAAGTGTTTTTTCTTCTTTTACCTGTTTACTGAAACATCTTCCAATTATAGTTATATAATGGAGATCAATGGAGTCAGATTACATTTGAGGATATCCACATTCAGATTGGATGAAGGGTTGAGGAGTTTTAGCTTGTTAACATGTTCCACCCTCTTTTTAAAGTAATCGGACAGTTAACTCAAATGCCATTTCATGAGCAGGTGTGGGCATTTTCTTTGTTATGTCATTATCAATTAAGCCGATCAAAGGCCTGGAGTTGATAGCCCTGGTTTTTTGCTGTAAACCGACAACATGCGGTCAAAGGAGCTCTCTGTGCAGGTGAAACAAACCATCCTTAAGCTGCGTAAACAGAAAAAACCC